CTTAACCCAATCTAATTTAAAATAAACTCATAATATATGTATATTAATATATACATACTAGTATACCCATCTCAATTTATTGAACAAAGTCGATCGCTTGATGTTGAATATTCAAAACGTTGAATCGTCTTTAATATATTTATAACATTAATTGATTCAATTTAAATCTAGCACCGCCCAGAATCATTTTTCAAATACGAAAACGTATTGTATATTTGTATATAAGTACTGCAGGCGTATACGGAGACACGAAAAGAAAGACGACACCCAGTATTTAAATTCTTTTGATTAAAAATGTAATTAAAAATATAAATAAAAAAATAAAATGCTAAAATAATTTGAGAGTAACATATTATAAATGTTAAGTGTACCTACACCTAATTTCCTTATAAAGAATCACATTTTAAAATAATATATTAATTTATTATAAAAATATACTGCATATTAAACTACCATTAAGAGTTATATAGGTAATGATTATTAATTAATAATACTTGGGTAGTTGGTGAATTCCTAAAATTAGTAAAACACTTCATCTCGATATAAATATTGTAACGACTTAAAATTCACTAATTGATTCAATGTAAACTATTTTAAAAATAAAAAATCTCACATTTTAAATAAAAATGTTGAACTACTGTATCCATGAAATATGAAAATAATTATCACCAGTGAAGTAATTATTATGATAGTCAACAGTATATACTTTTATTTGTATGAACAACTATCAACTAATAATAATTTTTCTTTCGAAACAAATATTCAACATTTACCTAGCAGATTATACTAGAAATGTGTTGACATCGTTAAAAAACAATTACGTGGAAAATGTCGTTGAATATTCCATGCACGTATAAGAACCTTCACTAGGATAAAAAAAAAGAATAAAAATCGCATTCCGTTGGGTCGGGAAATTGCATGGCTGCAAATGGTTTTCGAGGATATTTCTACGAGACGACTTAATGTGACTGACCAGCATGGCAGTACGTATGGGGAGAAACCGGAACAACATGTAAGGAATACTAAAGACAATCGTTTGGTGAAGGAACGAAAAAATCAGCTATATATTTACAATGACGCTTTTACTATCAGAATACCTAATAAGTCACTTCGCAGGACACATTTGAATAATAAGTTATAAATACGTATCTCTACTTATAAATAACGAGTTTAATGAAAGTATTAAATTGATCGATTTAACTCATTGTTTTATGAGTTATAACTTATATAGTTGCTCAATATTTATATATTAGTTATTGTATCAAAACACAAAATGTTAAACAGTTTTTATTCTACAAATAGTCTACTATATGGTTGTCTCTTGTAAAGTCGTAACAATCAACGTTCTATCATTTTGATAGAACTTAAAAATTGTACTCTAGGGAGCATTTATTACTATTCATGATTTTTTTTGCATACATATACATCATTTTTAAATATGGAATTCATGCGGGCGGGGTAGATATGATAATGATATTATAATATGTATCCAATATTACTGTAACCACAACCGTAGGTTATTTCAAGAATCTTACTTCTATTTGGTATTGATTATATTATATTAAGAGTTGCTAAATCTTACTATTTATTTTACGAATACGATTATAATATCTCAGTGCTGCAGACTTCATTGACATTATGAACTAGCAACTGCGGTGTATAAAATGAAAAATAAATACTATGGACATTTTTAACAAACATCACGTCAGCACCGCCCATTTAATACATTAACTTTTTTCTAAAATTTTAAAATTTAGCCAATTAGCATACATTTACACGAATTTCCCTTGCATCGTTCGCATGACATTCATTTGCATGCAAAAATGGTTTTTACAGTTTTTAGAATTTTGTCGTCTCGCTTACGCTGCCTATAAACTTAAGGTTATGGGGGTGTGGTAAATATGTTAATGGCGATATCCAGAATAAAAAAATATTTTATATTCATACTAATGTTGCAAAAAATATTTATGCGCTAAACATCAAAACACATACTGTTCAAAATATTAATCATATTATTTTGTGATATTCCAATAATTAATAATTTGACAGATAGGATGCCTTCATTAATATTGATATTTTTTTTAATATATTTAAACTATAGATGCACAACTAAATGTTCTTTCAAAAATTGAATATCAAAAAAATAATATCAATATTTTTATTTTTGTATAAAATATACGAAAATAATATACAAATTAATGGTTAATTTAACAATATGATTTTTAATGCGAAATCTTAAAAAATATTGTATTGGTGGGTACATATATTTATATTATAAATTAATAATTATAAATATTTTTATACATATTATAAGCGTTGGAGATTTTTTTACTGATGAGAAATAACTTTATACCTATTAGGAAATTAATTTTAATTTAAGTCTTAATAATTTTACCGATAACATGATTACCTATTTATTTTAAAGTGTGAGTTGTGATTTAAAAATGATTCATGCTAATTGGATTTAAGCTTAATTTTTGGAAAGTACCGAATATTTATGGCTTTTATGTTTGGGGATATGATCGCCAACGTACATATAAATATGCTGTGTAACTGAGCCGCCCTCTTGTATATATTATATTATAAATCTGGAGATAATTTATTTAACTACACTAACTAGAGGGTGATGTAGGGGAAACACCGTGAGATCTGTTTTTATCGCCGATGACAGGATTTTGGTGATTTACCGTCACACCCTCTCAATAGCATATTATAGCTGAGTCATCAGCGTTATAGACACTCCGTATCGTTTATAAACATCTCGTATTCATCACAGTAAATACTAATTTTATTGGCGAAAATTTCTTTTGGCCCAATCGAGAAAACCCAGCTTCTACCAGGTAAGAATTTCTTCTCCAAGTTTGAAGTTCAACCATGAAAAAATGATGCTACAGAGACTGAACACAGCGAAATTGCACTTTGGACCCTTTTGTGCTGTTTCACCCTTCCTTCCCACATCCTTTACCAGACATCGTAAACTTTTACGAGTGTCCAAACCGTTGGGCGTTTTAATAATCAAGAATGCATACAGCGCGTTATATTACTCCGCCACAGCACGCAACGCACCGGAAAATGTTCTATTCGTATAATTGTTTTGACTGAAAAAAGCAACTTGCATCGTCCTCACTGCCACTTCTGTATATGTTCGGCATTTCAAAAACTGTTTCAACTTTGTTTTTTGTTTTTGAATTGTATAGCAGTAATAACGTGATGAAGCATATTATTTTTAAATGACATTTTGATAATACATTTAAAAAAGTAGGTAAGTTATGATATGAAATATTGAAGAAAAAATAACATATAATATACTAATATTTCTTCAATAGAAATAATTTTGTAATATTATAGGTGCCTACAAATATCAAATATCAAATGTAGTCAATGGGGTAACTACATGTAGGTATCCTTATGCTTTTATGAGATAATTTTAGTCAATGAAGCTACAAAATATTGATGTGACTTTGAGCAAAAATTCGAAACAACGATGATATCTTTTTGCTGAATACATAATTGACATTATTTAAATCGATAACCTATCATAAACATATAATAAATACTTAATGCTATACGGCCTATGCCCTATACCTATCCAATACCAGTATTAAGTATTCAAATATATCTAACAATAAATATAGTAGTGTTACATTTCATATGCGTTTTTTCGTGTCTAACCACTATGAAAATGGTCAGACCTGCAAAATTTAAATTAACTTAAAGCTAATATTTAGAATTTTTTTGTGTATTGCCGCAGATATTTGATATTTCTCCCCTTTGGAAATATAAATCTACATTTTAATCAGCCAATAATAACTTATTATTCTTTTTTTTTAATAAAAAAATGTTTTCTTTAAATCATCTTTGTTCATTTTTTCAAGTCTTAAGTTAGGAGTATTTAAAAAATTTCCTCGAAATCTATTTTCAAATTAGAAGTCGAAAAACATCCTAAATCTTAAATATATACCTGTTGGTATTTGATTATATTTTTTAAGCTTTCTCATCATGATTTTAAGTTTCAATAATCTTATCAATCATAAAATAATTTATTGATATACTACATTTTTAAATTGATCAATAATTACATGATTTACATGTGCGCTGGTTTATGATAAACATAAACTTTAGTTACCTAGTTTAGTTAAGTAAACGTTAAGAAGTAAGAACATTCAGATATATTAAGTCAATAAATAATAAACAATATAATCCACTTTAAAAGTTTAAAGTTAATATGAAGAAAAATACTAACTTAACTCAAGAATTATCACTAGGGCATACAGTTATAGTGCAACTTCCAAATATTTAAAATTATAACTCAACAATTTGTTAATATTATGATATAATTTATTTTATAAAATATTTTTCATTTAAAAGCCTGTCAAAAAAGTTTCTGAGTTCTCGATGAGCAACCAATGAGCAGTTTATTCACCCCTATATGGCTGTACATGATGAAGAAACTGATGTCATATTATAAAAAACTTCACAGTCATAAAGCACGGGTGCTCCACTGACATAACTCAATATTTATGCGCTATCTATCGGACTTTAAACAACATTACTACTTCAGCGCTATCTAACGAACACATTATTACATTAAGTTTACTCACACAGAATTCTTTTAATATTCTGAATCCATCGTGATCAGATGATTATTTAAACATCTATATTTCGACTATAATTTTATACCTACGAAGTATTATATAATATGTATTTAATACATTATACGGATTTCGACAGTATTAATTCTTTTAACAAAATAGGGGGATAAAGCTCTAGATAACAATTATTAGAAAAATATTAATAAATTATATTGGGTTACAAAAAATTAAAAATCAAACAAAATACCTAAAATGTTACAATTTAAACATCAAATTAACAGCAGATCAATTTCCTAGTACTAAATAAGCATAGCAATAAATATAACATTTAAAATAATAATATATTTTATTAGAAAAATTCATAAACGGTTATTACCTACGATATTATTATATTTGTAAACGCATTACCTTATTTACGATACGTTTCCCATTTTCTTTTTCAGAATCAGTTGTGAATAGTAACATACGAGCCGCTAAGGAAGATTGATATGTCTTTTCGTACTTGGCAATTTTTAGTTTTGAGGAACTGTAAAAATAAAATTGTATTATTTTTACTTTTCAAAGGATACCAATAATAAAATTACATACTTTTTTAATTTGAATACAAAATAATATTTACAATCTATGTGTACGATAAAAAAACTTTTATGAATACCTATATGGCTATTGCCTATTGGTCACACAAATATAGACATGATTCATGTCACATGAATAACACTAAAAGCGTTCTCCGTAAACCGTGAATCGGGATTCCCGAGAAAAAAAAATTCGGTCCTGTGATTGGCTTAACCTCAATGGTTATAAGTAAATATTATAATGTTATATATACCTATATACCTAGCAGATATCAGAGAATAGGATCCAATCATATTCAAGTCAAATGTTTACAACTATGTGGTTATGAAAATAATTATCAAACAAAAATTAGAACCAAAGGTAGGTTACACTGCACTCTGTCGTGTCGTGTAGTGAACTTTTTCCATTTTTCAAAACATGATACCACTCTATACCATAAATGAGTTCTTCATTTAATTGATATCAAAATAGTGTTTGAATTCATATATCATTAGTCATTACTATTAAATCAGTAAACACAAGTTCAAAAGTTGGATGAAATCAACTTCGTGGTATATGGGGGAACATCGTGGTATTCGTAGTAGAATCCGTAAAAGTGGTGGTAGAAACCAGATTTAACCACGTGGTTGGACCAATCTGAGCACTGCAACATTTGACGACACGACACGGTGCAGTGTGAACCCACCTTGATAGGTGATAATATTATGAAACCTGTTACCACTTACCATTGTGTTCACAACTTCACCACAAAAATGAAAAAATGTATAATTTCGAGAATTCACGGATAGCTTACTTTCATGGTTCACGGAGCAGTGTAAAGTCGCCCTAAGAAGTAAAGCCGGATTCACAGATATGTGAAGGGAGATAACCTAATCAGCGATAGCGACCTTATAGTAATTAAGGCTTAATTTGAGGTTATTTCGGTTTATAATAATGATCGAAGAATTCTTTCGAAACGACGAAAAGGCGAAAAGAGTTGTCCAGCTAGATTATTGACACTCGGAAACCTTAATAATATTATGTATAGGACAGGTACCAATAGGTGGTTCTTGTGGAGTGTGATTGGAAACAAACTGGAAGCAGAATTTATTTGGCGTGTGGACATTAATTAAAAGGCTCGCATATTTTTTAACAGTATTTGATATTTTTCTTTTTAATCTAGATCTGGACCCCAAGACGTGGTCAAGGGTGCATTCTTCAATTCTTGTTGTCCAGAAATCGAAAAGGTCGATATATCTTATACGATAAATTCAGAATTGCCTAGTAATATTCTAAATTTTATCGTAAACAAAAAAGAAATACTACCTACTACTATAGATACCTAGACCTAATATAAATACTTACCTACTAATTAACTTATCTACATTAAATTGTATAAGTGGTTCCTTAAAGATTCGATTTATATTTTATAGCTATAACATATGTCATATATATACTAAATACTTATACAATAATAAAAATTGTATTCTAATATTTGTATTCTAAATTATATTTTCAAATGCTTTTTTATTGACTTACTATATTATTATTTATAATAGTTGTGTATATTTGTATAATTGTTAAAATCCATACAATATAAATTATAATATACTTGAGACTGCTATTTTTTAACTGTACTTCAGGAATGATGAATCATAATCACAGTTCTAAAATCTATAAATATCTAAAATACTTGTTAAAACTATTTGTACTTGATTATCAGATGCAGCTAGTGTATTATATTAATCTTTTTATTTGCCTACGATAAGGATGAGACGCATAAAAACTGATCCACATAGATCTTCAGGGCCTCATACCACCCTGTATCCCTACTGGCTACTCATATGTTTCTATTATGTATTTTGTTATTTTGTTTTAGTATTTTTCTACCCTTTTTGATAGATAGATACAGTCTGTACTTGTATTGTTTTAAATCATAAATTATATTTATTTTAAAAATAAGTAGGTCATCGTTTGATGTTGAAAGAGAGGCTTTTACAAACTTCCAAACAATAAAATAACGTGAAGCCATTATAGTGTAGTACCTTAAGTCAGGAAACATTGGACAGACTCTAAAGGATTACAAATAGGCATGAATAGGTTTTACTGGAGCTGTGGGGGGGGGGGGGCAGAATTTTTGGTAACACAATCCTTGTAACTATTATTGTATTTTTTAAGATAACATAATATTGTCTTATATTTGCAGCAATTAATACCCTATATTTGGAGAAAAAAATTTAATTCGCAGGAGACGCTGCCGCATTTTACTTCTTCCGTGCGCTTTTACTACACGTGATATTATTACTGTGACGTTAATAGATTACCTATTGAAATATGAAAAAAAACTCAAAACCATTACATGACTCTGAACTAATTTAAAAAAATTGCAAAGGGAATCTTTGAAACTAACTATGTTAGGTATGGACTGCAAATATCAAAAACCTTATAGATACATTTAAAAAAACCATTAGGTATAGTTATAAAACAATTCAATGCGTCGTCAAGTATAGTATTTCATTTTTAATTTTATAAAACATAATACTTAGGTACCTATGTACTACCTTTATAACATTCAATTGTTATATAATACCTTTACACTAGAGTGGGTAACATAGGTATTATGTGAGGTAAGTATCTAATTATTCATGTATGTAGTATGTAGGTACCTGTAGTATGTCTTATAATATAGTATAATATCGATCCTACTAAATAGTAATTTAACAGCTAATATAGACATTATGTTTTAACTTATTTCTTATACATACTTTGCAGTTTGCAGTATATCTATTAATTATTATTGTAAATACCCATAGTTATTTTTCATATTTATGCATTTTAACATTATGTTATTATAAAAGGAAAAGTTATTTTGTACTTTGTTTTACATCCTACCTATATGTTAATAATTGATAAACTGAATCCAACTCGTTTCAATTCAACTGTGATTTATATTTTATATTCTATCTTGTAACTAGTCATTTTCACGTAGTGACTTGTTAGAAGGAAATCACATTACCGCCTAGTAATTGACATTGATAGGTATAATAATAAACTTTTTTTAAAAGTATAAATATAATTATATCTATAACCTTTGTAGTAAATTAGTAACCAACCTATCTTTCGGTAGATTTGGCATAGGTGTTGGAATTCTAGGTGGAAGAACTGGTATTGGCGATGTTCTTCTCATTGTTTTTCCGATTTTCAGCCGTTTGTTTCGTCCATCTATTATTGTCGCCATGTCTCCACGACTCGGTGGCCTCCCGTAAGTCGTTATTTCCACAGTAGCCATCTAATTAAAAAACAAGTATTATAAGCATTTTAAACTATCTCGTCCAAAATAATAAAATGTATGTATTTATTTGATAGTTTTTCTTTAATGATGTATAATATGTATTTTACGTTATAAAATATTTGTGATACGTCATCGGTGTTCACTGAACTAGTCTGACCAATGTATCTATGTATATGTCTATACGACTATACGTTTAGACATATTTTTCGTATATTTTACTGCTTTACATGTTTACAAATTAGTATCATCGTTGTTAATATTTTCCAGTCTGTAGCCACAGAAATAGCTACTATTATTAAGAAATTTACCTTGGTGGCTAGGCACTTATCTAGCAGAATGACTCATTTTTTTTTTTGGAAAGTATGGAAGACAACATTTAAATAAAAGAATATTTAGGGCTTTTTGGAAAAATAAAAATGTGATATTGTGATCCATAACCCGTGTTTTCTATACTACTGGAAAAACACAATGAAGAAACCTATTTGGACTTATATCAGAGTTCATGTAAATGATACCACAATGGTAAAAGTATAATATGTCAGTTACAGCGATTGTCAAAACAACAATGGAGAAGACTTATTTCCCCTTTCACGATTCGATGAGTCCGTTCCTTTTTAATCAACTATACTTCCTGATATCGCATATTTTATCATTTTCAAATTTATTTTATTTGTTCTATAATTTAACATTTGGAAAAATATAGGTAGGTTGGTATTTTAATCATTGCCTGCAAAATATGTTTTTGAATATAATCCAATTTATTTTGTTTGATGTTTTCAATACATTATTGATCGCCGTTGATAATGGTTTACCTTTATTATAATATAAACACTACATTTTAAATGTTATTAAACTATGACAAACGTACAGCTATAGTCATCAAACTAAAAATACTGTTTAAACTTACTACAATTATATTGGTATAAATGTACGACAATTTATATTATACCCAAAGCAGTAGACATTGTATTTATCGTGTGAAATTCATCACATACGAAGTTATACAGCCCGATTTAAACTATCATTTCAATATAATGGCTTATATAACAACAATTGTTTTAATTCTATATTTCTATCAAAGAAGTGTGTTTGTATACATATCAAAGTATAATTCATAAAAATTATTAGTTCCATTATATTTCCGTACAGTAATAACAGTTTTCTTTGTTGTGTCAACCCTGAAAAAAGTTTCTTCCCAAACGATTGTTCGCGGATCGGACACATAATTTTTGGAGAGGGTGACACACTATGTGCTTATACATTATACAAATGCTCCCACCGTACAACGAAAGAGGGTGTTTTTATCCCCCGTTCTTTGCATGTGCTGACCCTACGCCGTTTTTGACAGTGTAATTTATCGTATTGTGTTGATTAAAAATAATCGCGGGATTCATCGAATTCGCTAGCGATAGAAAGCTAATAGACTTACTCATCGTCCGATAACTCTAAAAAGGGTTGGATGTAGTTTGTGTTCTGACAAACATCCCGAAACTTATCTCTCAGGTCAGCATAAATATATTTCAATAAAACTAATATTTACTTAGATAAGTAAACCATATAATACTAGTGTTTTTTTAAATGTATTAAAAAATACTACCTAACAGATTTATTTTATTTTTAAATACCTCTACATTTTATAATTTATAATATTAAAACATGTTATTGGTATTCCGGTATTCGATAAGCAAAACATAAGTACCTTGTACCCAAATAGTAAATAGTTAGTACTTATGACTTTGGTTCACTGGGTAAGTATCACTTAAGTTCGAAAAAAGTTGGTACCTATTAAAAATTTTACTAAAAAATATGAGTTCTTTAAAAATTGTACACTAAACAAAATTATTGGTTTAATTAAACATGATGAATTAATAAGATTTTCTTACATCCATAAGACTCGACTACTCGAGACTAGAGTAGGCAAACCAATTCAATTGTATTAATACATATTATATTGTTACTTATTATATTCATATATAGGCAAGCATAAGCATTGAGCATAGATAGTGTACCTACCTAAATAGTTTAGATATAAGTTAGGTCCCAGGGAAAAAATATCATTAAATATTGGACCACAAAATAAACTGGAGAATTTGCTTCACTGTGTGGTAAGTTTTGTGTGAATTGTGTACCTCGTCATTAATGAGTAAGTAACTTAAGTTTAATTGATTGCTAGCCGTCAAAAATGATGCGATAAGCGAACAGATATGTGTCAGACACTATCGTCAGCCTGTATTTGCTAAGGAAATTTTTTTAACCTATACTAATGCTGTAAGTTGAGCTAATTTTTGCAATAAACATACCTATTCCTATGGTAAACTATTATTTATTATATATTAATTATAATATCTATAATTTTTATGAACATTTATAACTTATAAGACAAATCCAGCGAATTGTACATACTGGTGTTAATAAGCTTAGTGGCAATAGCCAGAAGATTCAAGTTTCTAATGTTAATATTTTTTTAAAATTAAAACAAAACAACTAAATTTGGTAAAGAAAAATCGTTATATTTTTCATTTAAATATCCAAAATGTCATCAAGTATAAACTTTAAATACCTATAAAAAAATTGTTCATATTGTGTAATTTTATATTTTTTAACTACAGGATAAATTCTCGACCAAAAATTAACTTGTAACAAACATAAAAGCTAAAAGATTGATCCTTAATGATCGATCAAGATCCTTAAAAACACTTTTGTCAAAAAATAAATTTACAAGCTTAAAAACCTAACTACTAATATACAAATATAATATCATAAAGCCCATATGGACAAACATGGATTACAACTCTGGGGATCGGCCGAAAAATCAACTCAAACAAAATTCAAGTCTTTCAGAATATTACTCTTAAAAAAATCACTAACGCTCCCTTCTTTGTCTCTAATTTAACTCTCCACCAAGATCTAGGTATTCAACCTGTTTTGGCTGAAGCGAAAATATTTTACAAACATTTTTTCGACAGAGTAGAAAATCACCCTAACCCACTAATAACAGAGCAATATACCTTCTCACTACGACACTACCATCTAAATCCACAACGTGGACTGAAGGAATTAGTGTCATTATCATTTAAATTAAATATCTCTAATCAGTAACCCTAAATAAAACTAGCAAGCTAAGTGCCACTAATAGGTGACTTCTTACTCAAGAAATCCATGTTATGTTCCTAACCCTTATCGTATATGCTTATTGTACACAATTGTATAGATTGTGTATGTACTTTTTTTTAAATAAAAAAATATTGAAAAATATCTTTAAAGTGCTGTAATAACAACTTGTGAGCAACCTTTTATTCAATTTTCAAACTTTTTAAACAAAACATAAAAAATGCACTGTTATAAAACTGAAAAAAATTAGAAAATTCTATAAATAGGTCAAAAAGATACAGTAAATATTCGTTAAAGTGTTTACGGTTACCTACTCCATATTTCCGTATACTAAAATATAAATGAATTATACATAATAAAAAAACAAAATTGTTTCTAGCTGATTTTTGTTTGTTCCCTTTCTAGCCCTATAAGAATTGTATTTTTATACTATTAAAAAAAAGACTATTACAATTAGTTAATTCATAAAAATGTATATGTTATAAGTTATAGTTGCAGCACTCATGTCTCATAATATAGTTCCGAGAAAAGTTTCCTCTTCGCATTTATAAATAATTATATCATATCTATATTAGACAATAAATGTACTTGCATATAAAAGAACAGTGACAAGTATAAAAAATTTAAAAATATCACAGATAATAAGCTGACTCAGTTTCAAGACGATGTCATTTCTATCAGAAAATTGGTCGTTATTAATAAGATATTTTGTACCTATAGTGCGTCCATGCCTTCTATAATGGCTAGGCAATATTTCAAAAGTTACAATGATATAAAATGTAATAAAATATAACCACCATTAAAATATGTACTCATTAATGTATTTGTATTTTTTTAAATTATAATTGTGTTAACATTTTTAAAATTATTTATTGAATCTAAGCTATTTGCATCATATTTTCGGAAAATTTATAAAAAAAAGATTAATGTAAAATCTATCTATTATTTCAAAAAACTAGAAGGTTTAAATGAGTTTAATTGGAATGGCAACTTAATAATAATAGTTTAAATAAGGCAGTTAGGTTTTCTCGTGATTCGCGAGCATTGAAATATTTAATAAAAAGAAATTATAATGAATATATTACATAAAATTAAATTATTAATATTTTATAAGTATAAGCGCCATTTTTAATAAATCATCCAAATGAACCCCCTTGTGCCAGTATAAAAAAAACATTAAAACATTTATTTCTTAGTTACCGAGCACAAAAAAAGTAAGTAAATACTTTCTATAAAGTTAAATCAAATTATTCATTGTCATATTTAAAAATAATATTGGTTACTTACATATGACGATTATTTATAATAAAAGGAAAAGAGTTAGCAATTTAAAATAATCGTTAAATACATCAATAACGTTTATACAAGATTTTATGTTTGGCAACATTTCAGAGCCGCTAACGTATTCTCTGAGCAAAACAGAGCTAATTGTGGAACGAAATCCGTCTGGAGTCATTCATACGCCGGTAAGTTATAATAATATCCTCGATAGGAATTTTTTCTTTATTTCCTAACCGCCATTCGTTCGTAGTATTTTTATTTAGAGTATATTATTTGAGAGGGGAAACGAAACCCTTTCATCTGCGTAAAAACAGTTTGTCATAACTCATAAACATCTATCCAGCACCGACAAAGTCACAATAAATCCTCCGAGAAGAAATTAATTATGACAAGGCTACAGTTTGTTCCTATTACTCAACAAACGTGTGGGGTCACGTAAAAGACATACCTACCCGACAGTAATTACAGTCATGAGGAAATTGATTTACTTTGCGGGTCATTTTATATTTTCGGTAGTATACATAGCTAGGTACACAATATTATGTAGTTAATGAATTTTATAATTGTAACAATTATTTTTAAAATTCTAGTTTACAAAATAAAAT